AGTGACGCTTCCTTTTCCCGGTTCCTTGCTCTTTCATCCCATAGTCTGTATTCTAAATAGAGAAGAGATGGACGTTGTTTCCCTTCTCACGCTTACACTTCGCAGGGACATGGATCTTGATCCCTAAGTCTGTTGCTTACTAGAGGTTCCTATCTGCTGTTCCTTATTCATCTCTCTGTTTCAGGCCGGTTACTGCCCTGGTCTGTCCTGGAGTGCACCTTCCCTTTTGCCTTTGCGATCTTGATGTTTCTCCTTTGAAGTGCATGTGGTCAGTGTGCTTGCATATTACCAGGGTTGAAAAAAACCACTGCGGATTTTGAAGGAGTTGTCCATCTGTGTTGTTTTGCAATGTAAGTCTCTTCTTTACCGAGGCAAGGAAGTATTGAGTGCTTTAGGTGTTCTTTGTATTTACTGGGCAGCTTCATGGGATGTATTTAAATAACAGGTTATTTATAAACTTATAAATATCACAATGTCAGCTTTAGAAGGAGGAACAGGATTGTTAGTCCCCCACTCAATGCCTGTGCCATAAGCTTGAAGAGTGCTTGGTAATTACTGTATTTCTGCGGGTGCTAATCTCCTGCATTGTTTTTTGGGAGCTTCCAGTTGTAGACTATTATCTCTGATACTATCTGATTCGATCCGTGGACGGTGTTGCCCAATTACCCTCGTGCTGAAGGTGTCTTTGAGCTGTTCCTTTTTTTTTTTTTTTTTGTCTGGGTTTTTATGAGATCTGTACAACTCTTATGAAATTGAGAATATTTTACGTTTCTTTGAGTAGTGTGAAAAGGGGAGAAATGTCTTTCATGTGTTAATGTTTAACCTTTGTTCTCACAAAACGAGGAGATGTGCACACAACTATTTCAGAGATGTCTGTTTGCAAATGCAGTTTTGATGTTGAGTGGTGTTTGGGCAGGGTGAAACACAGACAAGTGGGCTCATATCAGTTACTTTCCCATTTCTGATGTTCTTCCCAGTGACTGGTGGTTGAATTCTGCCTAGATTGTTACTATGAGCTAAAGGTGGGTATGTTGTGTGTCTGATAATGTGTCTGGACATCTCAGTGGAATCAATGCTCTTGCTTGTCACACATTCATGGTGAGCAGTCACTGCAAGATCAGTCAGAGAGTGGCCTGAAGCAGGACAAGAGAGAGTTGGATGTTCCACCTGGCTGGGTGTCTCTTCATATTGTGATGATTGCCAAAGCCTTGCCACTTACACCAGGTGCCCTTTTCCTGCATCCAGAAAGGGGAGGTCAATCCTCTGATGAATTTATCTGCAAACAATACCCAGGGAAGTGCTAATCTCCTTCAGAAATTCTGTGTGTAAGAACTGCTGCATGAAGCATAATTTTCCCATCTATATGTCCTTCTGTGTCTGGATGTAAAATTGCAACATGGTTGAATTAGGATTTTCTCAGCCTTGACCAACCTTCAAATGTTATAAATGGCCCTCGTTTTTATGAAGTTATTGTTGGTGCTATGTATTGTGTGAGTAAAGGCTGTGAATGCAGAACAAGGAGGACAGAGTCTGTTATATTACCAGGGAAAAAGGTGAACCAAAGCAGTTTTACCTGAGCAATGGTTTGATACTTCTCCCAGTACCAAGAACTGTGCCACCTTTTCTGCAATCCTGGTTTCTCTGTTTTTCAAGGCAGTGGCAGCTCTCTGATCATAGAGCATTTGTCCAATAACTCTGCATTTAGAGAGATGATGCATGGGCATGTGCTGTGAATGAGGGATTTACATTGCTTAGAGAATCACCCTCAGAGATGTCAAAAGTGGTTTCAATAGGATTTTGTAGAGTGCTAGGAATGTAATGGATGAGAGGGTACTTCTGCTAGAAATTCACTTTTCATTTGAAGCATTTACAAGACACTCATTTAATCCTCTCTTATGTCTGATAGGGCTTTTCCTGAGAGTGCTGGTCCTAGGATGTAGACATAAATATGCATTAATTTTTGCAAAGTCAGGTATCTTCTGAAATGGTCATGTGCTGACAAGGAATGATGTTGTCTTTGAGCTGACTTTGAGACTTAAACTGAGCTACACATAACTTATACCAGCTGGAACATTTTCTATTCTGATGCATGCATCTGTATTATGATCCTCATTCTCCATAACAGATGTCGTATGGGAAACGTGTCTTTCCATGATGTCTGTCTTCAAAGGTAGCTCCCATCCTGCATGCTATTTGACCATGCCAAAGCATTCTGTCGTCAGGGAGACCAGACAAGTTTGCTTGGCTGTGGTTTGAAATGCCTAAAAGGGTGATGGAAACATTCCGTTTCCCCTATTTGCTGTATTAATCCCATTGTCGTGCTCCTCTGCATTTTCCATTTCTTCTCTAAAGAAATTACTTGGAGATCTGTGCCTGTTGACACTAATTTCTCCTCCCTGTGCACCTGCTACATTTGACATAGCCTGAAATGTTAAGCTATAATTTCTTCACTTCTGTGCTCTTGTCATTCCTTCCTTGTTGCTTTTCATGGTCTAAAACTGGGTCTCAGTTTGGCTGACAGACCTGGAAAAGGAGATCTGTTGAAATTAATGGGCTGGGGGGGGCAGTTTCTATTACCACCTGAAGGTGTTTTGCTGCCAAGACAAACACTTTGATGTACTTCAGGTTTCATAAAATACTGCTGAACTTCAATGTCCATTTCTTTTTCACTTGCAGTTGACATAAGATCAGTAGGTACATTTGTCCATGGTGCAACTGAATACTGTGAATGCAGAGCAAGCGGTTGAATTTCTACTAGGAAATTAGGGGCATTAATGTGGTTTTGACTGAGGACTTGTTTGATTTCGTGGTGGGCCATTTTTTTCTGTGATCCTGGTTTCCCTGGTTTGAAAGGCAATGGCAGGCCTCTGCTCATAGAGCATTTGTCCAACAGCTCTGCATTTTACAAGGCTGACACCTGGTTAGATGTCATTAATGAATGATTTGGATTGTCTAAAGAACCTCTGTCAGAAGTATTATCAAAAGTGGCTTAATGTGATGTTGTGCAAGTGTGTCTTTAACAAAGTTTGATGCGTGTCCAGCTGCAATTCAGGGAGGCCTCAAATTGGACCCAAAGAGATCCAAAGATCTCTTCTTGGTAAAAAAATCTCCCTGCCTTGAGGAGCAAGCATGAGAGGTGTCCCCCATGATGGGAGATCATCATCACACAGCCATGCTGCCTAGCAGGGAGATCTCAGAATGTACATATGGCAGCTCCCACTGGCTTTATGGGATAAATTGTTTGGCTCAGAGTCAAATTGATAAACCAGGAAAGGGTTGAATGAGACTCCTTGAACTCAACACTTTCTTTGTTGATAGAGGAGCCTGGGAAAAGACCCTTGCACGTCATTCTGCTCCTTGGAGGGTTTCCTAGAGGCATTCTTCCCCAGCTTTGACAAGTTTCTAATTCCTATATGAAACCTCTTTATCTAAATTATATCTCCCTGGAATGTTGCAATAAAGAGTTTGTTCCAAGTTGTATGAACACTTCATTTTATGCATTTTTCCGCGGGAAGGTCACGCTTCTGTTCCCCTGGATTTGGACAGTGCTTTAGCAGTTGAAGCAGTGAGAGGAGTTGTTTGGTTTTTTTTTTTTTTTTTTCCCAGAAAATACTTACTTTGGTCACCTAAGAGAAAATTCCATGTGTGGGGATGAAGAAACATAGTGTAAAAGAGCCTGTTTAATTTTCTCACAAAACCTAGCTTGAGAAAGAGGCCCATTATAAAGCCTTTAAAGTCAGGTTTTCTTACCCCCCATGGTCCAGAGTAAGATCTCAGGATGTCGGTTGCAGCTGGAGACTTCAAAGCCTTCCAGGTGCTCTTAGAAATGAATTTCTGTAGTCAAAGTGAAAACTGAGCTGTCCTTCTGGTGAGAGTCTCTGAAAACACACTTAATGAATCGTTGCCTTGCTCATACGATTGTTTTTTCTTTCTCCTCCCTATATGTATGTTTAATTAGAAGTAGTGGCAAAACTTCATTTGCCAAGGCCTTGTTCTTTAATGTCCGTTTAGCCAGGTTGTAGCTGGTGAGGATGGCAGGAGATGAGAGTGCCTGACCCTTGAGTTCTAGTTCTGAGTGAACAGATGTAAACATGGCCTTGGAGTTAGTCACAATTTTGTGGAACAGTGTGTGTGATAAAAGAAATTAGATTCTCCATAGTGAATTATTTGATGACCATGTCACTGTTGGATGACCACTCCTCTTTTAGTTGTCCATTTATCATTACTGTGCTTTTGAATAAATAAAATTCTTCTCAGAATGGTGGTGATCAGACAGCTCTATCTCCTTGACGTGCATGATCATGATGCATTATCTTCTCATGAGGTACTTTTAGTAATGATGAGGTCATAAATAAACCTGAAATTCAAATAGGGTTTAAGAGAAATGAGAATAATAATGTATGGGTAGAATGATTTATAAATGGGTAGAATAGTTTATAATTCCTGTGGAAGCACTGGTGCATTTCTAAAACCAGAACCCACTACTACATAGTCCAAAGTAAGACTTCACAGTCTCACCTGCTCGTTCATGCACTACTGACTTTCAGGTGCCTTGTAAAACATCTTTTAAGGCAGAGATATGAGAATGCAGCTGTGTATTCCAGGAGTCCACTATTTCCCTCAGAGAGGCCAGTCACAGATTTTGGTTTTCTTTCTAAATACTCAGAAATGAGGGAGTGATTTGAGCTTCTGCTTTGCAAAAAAGACCTGGTGAAGAGCACTGGAACACAGCCTCATCCATTGTTGATTGCTAGTGGGTAACAAGCATAAAAAAGATGAAGGAGCCTTATTCCATAGCAGCAGGCACCTCTGGACCCCTTCTGCCAAGCTCCAGAGCACAGTACAGATTGTAGAGCACAGATGGCCGGTCCCACCAACCTGGAGATTTTTCTTATTTCTTGGGGACTGCAGGACTATGTTCTTTTCTGTGTGATTTCCTACACTGTGCAGGCCAGGATTTCTCACAGTAAGGAACAATCAGCGTCATGTGGGGCAGTGGGAGGTTTTTGGGTTGGCATCTTTGGGTTATTAAATGCTAGGAAGCCTTATTGTTTTGAAAAAAGCAAAATCTGGAGCTTGTTAAAGTCACCCAGTGGAGTTAAAAGACACCTAGCAACGATCTGAATTCAGTGTAACCTTAGCCCTCTTGGCTTCAGCGAATTTCCAGGTTCTCTGGGTGTGAGTCTTTAAGGGACAGTTGTGGCAAAGCAAGTGAAAATCATAGACCCACGATACCTTCCTCAATAAGGTCATATGGAGTTTTGGATTTGTGTATGAGTCATCAGAAATCACTGTAGAATTTTCAGTTGATCATGCTGCTGTTGGATGGGCTTACCAGATGATAATGCCTTTGTCTAAAAGCTTCCCAAATCAAAGCAGGGGAAATATTGTAACAATTCTTAGGATAGACCTTGAAGTTTTAAGCGTCCACCAAGACCACTGAGGGTTTGTCCACATTAAAATGTAGTAAGTACCAGGATGTGCATAGGGCAGAGCCTGCACAGCCCTGTGCTTTCTTTTCCAGACTTTGGCAAGTATGTACAGTGACAGGGGTCTGAGTGAAGCTCCAGTACCTTTGAACTTAACATCTCTCCTTCGATGTTAATTGTTGTCCAGAATCAGAACCAGACCTGAGCATTTCAGAGTAATGTGAGCTCATTTGCGTGTACTTCAGTGTCAACTGAGGGAGGGAAGGTGAAATACCAGGAAAGATTGAGAAGACTTCCGAATTTGCTATGAAGAGATATACAGGGTATGGAAAAGAGATGAGAATGGGTTGTGCAAATTTACATTTTGCCTGTCTCTTGTTGTTGCAACTTCTCACGGTAAAGTACCCATAAGAGGGAAGGTGCCTTGCA